AACACAATATCACAATGAATAGAAAGTGAGAAATCCATCCAAATTGGGGGGGGCAAGACTTGGGATTGAACTCAAGGATTTCTCACTGAACCAAATCCTCAGGTCCTGTCATGTTTTTGTTTTTGTTTTTGTTTTAATCTTGAGACACGGTCTCACCAAATCACTAAGTTTCCCAGGCTGAGCTCAAACTTTCAAGCTTTCTGCCTCAGCCCTCCAGAATTCCAGGGATTATAGGCATGTGCTACCATGCCTACCCTTATCCAGCTTTTTCTGCCTTCTTTATGCCAGGCACTGTGCTGGTCACTGGCAAGGCATGGGCAAACACAATTCCTACCTCACCTTCTGACCTCTTGCACAGTTCTTAGCTTCAGGTGCCAGGCGCCCATGAGATGGAGAGGAAGCAGTAACCCTGCATCCTACAGGGTGCCACAGGCAGAGTACCTGCTGGCCAGAGCTGCAGAACGTTCCAGCTGGAAATAGCTTACGTAGCTTCTTTGCATGGTGATTATGATTTGACTGAGCTGATGGTGGGAGTCTTGTGTTGTCTCCTCTTCTACCATCTTCCACAGAGTAATTCTACCCTTTCCTATTCCCACATTTTAACAATTATATTCACGCTATTAACACCAGCTCAGGCGCTGGTGAGATGGCTCAGTGGTCTAGAGCACCTACTTGGAACAATCTTAGCAAAGCACAGGGACCGCGGTTCAATCCCCCAGCACCACATGCCAGCCAGTCCCGCCCCCTGGTGGGCTGAGCTGGCCACACACACACACAAAAATAAATAAATAGAAATAAATAAATATATACTTTAAAAAAACAAAAAAACACCAGCTCAGCATCAAAGAAGACATTTTCTTCAGCATCTCAGCTGGCCCTTGTGCCTCAGTACTGGAGTAGAACAAGGAAATAATTCACTTCAAAATTAAATACATATTAGTAAAATAAAACATGTATATGAAATATGTTTTCTTCAGTCATAATAACTGATAACATCTGTGTATTAATTTTCTGTTTCTCATGTTTTTCTATTCTGCTTTTGAGTGGATAGTCCAGCAATCTTTCCAGGATGGATGATTTGTCTGTGGGACAAGCCGTAAGAACACAGAGAGACCAGATCTTCTTCCTCCACCTGCCCTCCCTGCTCCCTGTACTCTGGCAGCCCCTCCCTAAGCAGTGAAGAGCTGAAATCTCAGGGGAGTCACAATGTGACTTTCCACTTCAGCATTAAAGCCTCCCCAACATGCAGGCTTTTAGGGTTCAAAGCAGTTAGATGAATAGACAGATAACACCATGCATATGCACATACACATTTAGATATATAACATTACAAAATTTTCTGATTAAAATAAACAGAGGAATGGCGATTTCTCATTTTACAAATAAACAATACCTTGCAGATAAATTCCAAGCCAGAAAGATTGGATATGGTGATGGCTGACTGGTAACCAATTTTTTAAATTATTTTTGAGGGTAATTGTAGCCATTCTGTTCAAGTGATGCATTTTAAAGACTGCTATTTTTCTAGTGAAACATACGTCAGCAGAGCAGGATAAAAGCCTAATAAAAACATATCTGATTATAAATGAGATTTTCCAGTAAGTTGCTTTTCACTAGCTAAGGTGCTTGCCATTGTCCTTGAAAACCTAGGTTCCCAAGGATCTATGTGAGAAGTTGACAGTGTAGCTCTTCATGACAAAGGAGTCTGGATCTGGGAGTTAGTATATAATTCCACAGATTGTTCATATGTGCATTTTAACCATCCCATGTTCCTAAAAATGCTGCAATTTCTGAAGAGCTACTCCACGGGAAAAAATTCCCTGGCTATGGAGGTATGAGAAATGCTGCCCACAATACACTTTTCTTGCAAACACCCACACTAGCCTTTTGAAAGCTCTCAGAAATACAGAAGTAGAAAAGCCTGTTTAACCTTATTTAACCATAGAATTCCACAGTGTTGATGTTTTAAGAAACACACTGGAAAACACCACCATGACAAATGCATGGCAGAAAGCAGAGTGGGAGCTTAGGATAGATGGTGGAGTGGAGAAGAGCTCAGGCTGTAGCTCACCTTGATCTGGGCTTCATGCTGTCACTTGGTAGCTGTCACCTTCTGGGCAAACGACTCTACACACTGGAGAGCCTGTGTCTAGCTTTGAAGTAAGAATTTGAGACACATGTG